GTTGCACTGCCCTTCATTCACAGTGTATCTATGTCACAGGGTAGTAGGGCAGCGGCTGCCCAGTGTTTAGGAGGCCATACCGTTGCCCCCTAAATGCCATTTTTTCATCCCAATTGGGATTTTCAATTGTGCAGCAATTGCGTAACCACATGGTTGCAGTGCGGTCCCACTAAATAGTCATATTATGTAACTGACAAGCTATTTAAAATTTGCTGCAGCATTTTTTCAAACCCGACATATCCCCGACAGTGAAGCTGCAGGAGACCTGCAGGGGTAGGGACAGAGAGCAGCTGGTGGGTGGAGCTGCCATGTCATTGGGGGCTGTCTGCTTGAATCCAGAAGGGGTGGTCAGCGCCAGATGACTTAGGAGCACCAAGATGGCGGCTCAGGACCTGGCCTGTGTCACCTGAACAGCGGGACAACACTGAATTTGCTGGGCAGGTGAATATGTGATTTGAGTACAATGCTGCACAAAGGTAAGAGGGATTTTTTTTTAAATGAGGAGGTTTGGGTAGGCACAGAGTGACATTAAACTTAGGAGTTAAATCTTAAAAATGCATTAAGTACCTTAACCATTAACAAAAATGTATCTTATTTGTGTATCACTCACTGTAGATCCTGAAATCGTCCCTGTGTGTATTGTAATGTAGCCACCGCTCCAAACTCACTCCCGTGATGGACTACAATCTCATGTTTAGTTTACTAATTTGTATTGAGATTGTAGTCCATCACAGAAGTATGCTTGGAGTGGTGGCTACTTTACAATACACACAGCGACAATGGGGATCAAAAGTAGCCACCCTCCAGAAGCAAAGATTGTCAGCATGAATTTAGAGATTTGAGGATTTACAGCCAAGTGATGCACCGATACCAATACCAGTACACGTGCTTGAGAAAATGCCTGATACTTAAAGCCGATACGGGCCCTTTAAATTTTTAAATATATTAGGTCACACATGTACTCCTCCTCCTTCCAGCCGCCCGCACAGCCAAGGGGACACCCATCACACACCCAGCCATGGCGACACCCACCGCCCGCACAGCCCTGGGGACACTCACCACCAGCACAGCCCTGGTTTTGACACCCGCTACCTGCATCCACCTGCACAGCTTTGGTGAGACTGCATAGCCCTGGTGAGACTGCATAGCCCTGGTGAGACCGCACACAGCCCTAGTGACACCACACAACCCTAGTGACACAACACAACCCTGGTGACACTCGCTGTCCACAGAGCCCTGGTGACATCTGCTGCCCGCACCGCCCTGGCAACACCGCACAGCCATGGGATCAGCTGCTCCATGCACAGCCCTGGTGACGACCACCACCCACACGGGCATGGGCAGACCCGTTGCCCGCACAGCCCTGGTGACACCCACAGCTTGCACAGCCTTGGTGAGACCGCACAGCCCTGGTGAGACCACACCCGCCGATTGCTGGGATTTGTAGTCTTTTATAGCTGCTGGTAATCTACATTGCTGTATAATGGATTGCTGGGATTTGTAGTCCTCTATTTGTAGTGATATTCTGCATTGCTGGGATTTGTTGTCCTCTATAGCTGATGGCATTCTGCATTGCTTTATAATGTATTGTTGCGATTTGTTGTTCTCTATAGCTGGTGATATTCTGCATTGCTGTATAATGGATTGCTGGGATTTGTAGTCTGCTATAACTGGCGGTATTTTACATTGCTGTATAATGCATTTCTGGGATTTGTTGTTCTCTATAGCTGGTGATATTCTGCATTGCTGTATAATGGATTGCTGGGATTTGTAGTCTGCTATAACTGGTGGTATTCTGCATTGCTGTATAATGTATTTATTATATTGTGTTTGTGTGCACTAAAATTTATTTTGTGTATTTTTTCCTAAAAATATTGATTTGATAAACATTTGCGCAAATATTGTGCAACCAACTTAAAACATTGCAACTAGCATGTTTTTATTCTACAAGGCCTCTGCTTTCAGAAGATATATATTTGTTTGGGGGTTTTAAGCAGTTTTCTAGCCACAAAATTCAGATTTGAACGTGTGTGCAAAGTTTTTTTTAACTTTCTCTGGATGTGAAGTGGTCGAAGGTCCTTTACCTGAGAAGGCTGAGAGTGTTTGCCTTTAATCCAATACAGCGCTCTGTAAACTGTATCATTAGCCTAGTGATTCTGATGCGTATGCTTTCTACTTCCTGTCACTATTTTATGAATAGTATTGGCCACTGCAATGGGAATCTTTAGAATTGCCATTTGCAGTGTCTAATTCCACTAAAAAGTTACCAGTGGCAGGAAGTAGAGAGCGTATGGAAAGAAAACATTGAGCTAACAGTACCACTGCACCCATGCTCCCCTGTTTTTAGAAGGATATATGCTGGAAAGGACAACATGGGTGTAAATGTCATTAACGCTTTACATTTACCTCTCGCTGTCCTTTCCAGAGTTATTTCCTGGAGATCTTCTTTATAGGACCACAGGCAAAACACAAGACAAACTGTTCAACACACACAAAGTGAACTATGGGCAAAACGTTATGTAACCGCGCAAAGATAAGAAACTGAAATGTGTTAATGGCTTCCAAAACAAGACACAACTTCTGGACAGAGTGTCTATCGTTTTATTAAAGTTTCTAATACAGATAGGAAATACATACGGAATCCACAGAACATTATCTTGTTTTCTTCTGACAAAGATGAAATGGGGAGAAGATCCTCGTGCTGTATGTTCTTTATAGACACTATTTCCTGATTAGTAAGTGATTAGTGTTCTAATTTGGTTTCATGGTCTTCTTCAGTCTCTATGACCTTGGTATCTGTGTAAAAAAAAGAGAATGCATTGGATATTGGCAAGAGCTTAGTTAGTGAGCTAGTAGAACCTGACAAATGAAATGTGATGAATTAACCACTAACAGAAGGGATACTCATACTAACAATTTTGACACACAGGTAGAAATCTACTCTTTATTCCCTCAGCTTCCTCATGCCCAAGGATGTGCAGTCTGAAGCTGACAGCTTTTTCTCCATTCAGAGCAGCTTGTAACGGGTTACACAGCCGGGAAAGCCTCCCCGCCGTGTAACCTGTCATGGACGGAGCGTTGCCTGTTAATTACAGGCGGTGCTGCATCCGGCTTTTGACAGCTAAGTTAGATTACAAAGCAGAGGGCTTCTCCACTGCCTGTGTAACTTAACATAGCGTGCGTTGTCTGTTAATTACAGGCGGTGCTGCATCTGGCTTTTGACAGCTAAGTTAGATTACACAGCAGAGGGCTTCCCCAGTGCCTGTGTAACTTAACATAGTGTGGCAAGCGCTGCAACAGCCTCTACTCTATGTTAGAGGCCTGAGCACTGTGGATGGTTTGGACCAATGGCAAAGTGCCATTGGGTCAAGCTGTCCAATCAAGAAAAAAAACAAAAAACCACTGAGGACATCGATCTCAATGTCTCACCAGTAACAAGCAAGTGAGGGACAGGGAGGCTCCTCCCTGTTTCCTCCTCCTTCCCTCCTCCACACATAGCTTGGTTACCGAGTTGGGGGCAGGGCTTCTGTGGGCTAGGGCTTTGGCTGGCTGGGGGCAGGGCTGGGAAATACCTCACCCAGCACGGTAGATACCACACATCACTACTCCTGCCACTCTTCCTGTGTGGTACACTATACAGCTACTCCTCACTAAACAACCTACCTGTTTAACAACTACTCAGACTTACAGCAAGCTCTCCAACCAGTTGGTATCGTACACTGTACGAGAACTTGGGTCAAGCTCATCTCACAACACCCTTTCTCAATCTGTCTCATTCCTGCAGTTGGTCAGTCAGTCAGTATTCACTACTGTACTGTACATTGGTATTTGCGGTCTGCAAACCTAAGTCATGTATGTATATTAGAGCTGATTTCTTCTATTCCTCACTTAGCTGATTTCTTCTATTCCTCACTTAGCGACCAATTTCCATAACGACCTAGTCGTCGGATTGGAACTCGGTTGTTAAGTGAGGAGCTATTGTATTACCAAACGTTTGTATTACACCTATATGCGTTTGTTGCATTCCAAAACCATGGCCATTAATATTCATTTGTAACAGCCTCCACTGTTCTTTCAGTTACAAGAAGACATTGGGGTCTGCATATCGGGATTTGTGCCCATTCTGCCAGAAGATCATCTGCGAGGTCTGGTACTGATGTGGAATGAGAAGGCCTTGTGACAGCAATGAGGTCCAAGCACCCCAAAACTATTTGGGAAACCCTGTTGTCCCCTCAGTTTGTTGAAATTCGCCACTTCTAGCCATGGTTATACCACGCTACCTATTAAACATATCTGTTTTTTTCTTATTGTTTTGTTACAGAGTCTTCATATTGCACCTACATGCCAAAGCACCAGAGATGTTTCTATGCTGTAGGCCTCTTTTATGGCTAATTTATTTAACACTAATTAGCTTTCACTTGACAGAACCCAGGGAATACACATATATAGTCTGGATTCAGATGACCTGTAAATAACCCTGCCAACAAAAACTAGTTTCCAAACTTCACCCAGATGCTTAGGTGTAAACGGAGCCTTAATTATCTTCTGCTATCCAGAAATGCTCCTTACAAGTGTCCCTCTGACTCTGGTTTCATTTTTAAAATGAGGGCTCAACTGCCCTTACTTCCGGAATATTCCTAAAAGAGGAGAAGAGGCTTTTCTGACTAATAAAGGTAGCAGCAGGGAACTTCTGGTGTCTGTTCTTAAGCTGCCCATACACCTTGCACTGTGTACATTTTACATGTGTATACTGACATACAACATATTGTGTCTGTACAATCCTATGGACACAAAAAGGCAGCCACTAGGACTCCTGGGTGCCGCAAATACAGGTGTACTTTACTGTATGCCCATACCCTTATATTTGCATTCATGGGAATAAGCCATGATATTTCTGCCTTAGTGATGGTAATACGTGGCAGATATAACATGTTCACTCACAATGTATTCCCTTGTATCAGATAATAGGAGATGGTAGAATTTTTATGGATTATACCCACCATGGAAAAAGCACCATTTGGCATCCACAACGCTGGTGTCAAAGCAACAACCTCTCTCCTCACACTGTTCCTTGGTGATCAGTGGTCTACCACAATCCATCCTCTCGGAGGCATGCACTTTACAGTGAGCTATTAACAAGGAGAAAAATGTAAAGGTCAACGGCAAGGTTGAAGGTGGGGTTCTCCTAAATGTCAATATTGGACCAAGACTTTTAGTACTGACTTTTGTGCTGACTACAATAAATAAAACAAATGCAACAAAACAAGACTCACCCACAACGCAAGGGGTATTATACTGAGCGTGAGCGTTAACCACTAGGGGGAAAAAAAGAGCATATGATTAATTATTGTTGCATATATAGTATACATTAATTTGTATTAAGTAGGGCTGGAGAAAAAAGCATTCAGGGCATGGAATTAGTCTTTTTAGAACTTCTAGGTCATGGAAGGCATAATGTAAGTCACTAGCCTGTCCACTACAGTGGATAACTGGAAACATCTACTTTAAGAGTTTTAGCAATGGTATTGTTCCTTTCTTACTGCTCTATAGTAATGTAATAGAACTGTTGGTTAAAGGGTCCCTGAAACACTAAAACCTCCCAGGTGGACAGAATCAGGAATTATGGTAGGGAGATCTCACTCTTGGAGTATTCAAGCATCATCCGGCAGCCATCTATGTGCCACCTTTAACTAAAATACCATGTTTGGGTGAATTGATTCTTAAAGTGCTTTCTATGTTTCGGGATAGCCAGGTTTTTTTTGTTAGGCATATACATGTGCTCCTCAACCTACAGTAGTTTCACAATACTAGGCGTGGATGACGGACATATTGGTACTATGCATGCACTTTGTATGCTGCTTCTACTTTCTTATTGTAAAATTACCATTAGTCCCGTTTGCCAGGGACAGTTCCCATTTTGACGGGTCACGTGCCGCATTATTTCATTCTTTATAGTGCTCATGGCACTCTGTCTTTACATTTTCAATGCCTGGTTCCCCATCCAGAAGTCTGTAACCAATTGTTTCAGTGAATGATAAAAATGGGGGCGTGATTTTGTGGGTGTGGCTACAAATGGGGTGTGGTTATAAGTGGGCCTGATCAGTAGGGTGTCCCCAGATTTCATTTTGAAAATCTGGTAACTTTACCTTATTGTGGCATATCTGACCTACAATGACTGTGGCAGGAATCCCAAATATGCCGTTTACAAGCAGCAGCTGTCACCTGTTCAAGTAAATGACGGCGTGACAGCAGCTGCAAATATTAGCGGCAGTGTACTTGTAAGCGTGTGTGATACAATTACATACAGTTTGGAATAGATCGCTATCCCTAGATGCCTCAATTGTGCTTCCAAGTATAGTGATTCCTAACCGCATGTAATTGTATCACATATGATTACATGCAGAGTACTGCTTACAGATACTGCTGCTGTCATTTGATCATTAACGAACACGTGACAGCGGCCGCTTCTAAGCGGCATATTTGGGATTCCTGCTGCAGGAATATGTAAGTTCCCGCTGCAGGATGGTAAATCTTAATTTTCCTTTTTGTTTTTTTTTCAACAAAACCTTTATACCAGTTAGATACATAATTGCAATTGTAATATGAATCTTGTATTTACCAGGGTTTAGAAAAAATAAATTTAGGGACATCATGTTAATACAGTAATATTCCTGCAATTATCTTTCATGCCCAGATTACACGTTCATGTCGATGCATATATTCACATACCTGGAATATAATAATCATACACTAAAACATTGGCAGGCTGCAGGTTCTCCACAACAGTTTCTTGTCTGACAGTAAAAACAAATTGTTTGTTTTCATGATCGAGCTGCAGAAGAAAACAATAGTGACAGTTATTAAGAATAAAGAAACAGCGTGTGGTCAGCATCAGCATCTAAAACAAAGAAGGAAAAGAAAGCACAGATGGAGAGGAGGTGTGGGGAGGTGACTGGGTTCTTAAAGCAGGACATCAAGCGAAATATTAAATCCTGTTATCGATACATTAAGACAAACTAGAATGAAATATAATGAATATAATGAAACATTGTGATCATAATTCTACCTATATGTCCCACACCAGTTCAGTTATATAGCACACCATAAACTTATCCTCTTATTGTAATTTTTGTTAATAGTTTAATCACTATTTGCTAATCGTGACATGATACCCCCACAAGTAAACTAAAAGGGTTAGTCACTAAAGAGCCGAAGGATACAGCAGTAGCTTCGGCTGATCCTTCAGCTCTCTTCGGCCACCAGAGCCCTTAGGTTCAGTTCGAGTACGGCTGCTGTATGGGCTACTCACAATAGCCTGTACAGCAGCCGAAGGCGGCGAAGCGGCTCAGCCGAGCCGAAGGCATATGCTTCGGCTTGACTGAGCTGAAGTGACAGCTGAAGTGGAGAGAAAGGCCTGCCGAAGCATCTCATGGGCTTGCTCCGCACAGTTGTAATGACAGATCAGCGTCCCTAAATGACCTGGGGATGCTGATCTGTCATTAAACAATAACAACTGGGCGGGACCTTCTAGAAGAATCTAGCAGGTGCTGGCCGATAGGAAACATTTGGGCGGAGTTAGCTGTCACTGCTAGCTCCACCAATTGTTGTTTTTTAAATATCTTTCTTTTTTATTTTCCTATTCTTGATCATTTTAAAAATACATTTTGCAACCTTTTTTTTTTTTGACACTTTTCCCTTATTTTCTATTTTGCTCGGTACCATGGAGGTACCGAGCAGAATAGCCAAGCCGAATGCCGCTCGGGATATATGAATAGGGGCGAACGGCAGTCAGGTGCCGGAGCTTCGGTTCAGCAGATCCAGAGGTTGGATCGGCTGAGTCGAAGTCCTTCTGCACTTCGGCTCAGCCAAACATGCAGAGCATGGCAGCCATACAGAGCAGATGTACGGCTGTTTTCAGCCGAAGTTAATAGCCGGCTCACTTCACTTCAACTTATGGGGTGGTCATAATAATCTGGCCACTCAGTGTATATACACAGCATATACTTACACACATCCCGAAGAAGTGGTCAGTAGCATCCATGAAACGTGATCATACCTATTAAAACCTTAATTCTGATCCATACCTCTTGATGGGCATCTCTGCTGATCTGTTCCATCCCCCTTCATCTTTTGGGATTTATACTACTACATCTACCACACAGGAACACACATAGCGTTCAGCATAAGAACCATCGGTCACATCCCTCTAAGCATAGAGAGCGACCTGTCTGCATGGAACATTATATATTCTCTGCACTTCTACTAGGTTGCTTTGCCCCTTACCAGGAGTTCAGCAACCTCACAGATGTGAATACTACAATCTCTCCTTTTTATTCACAATAAGCCATTCATTCTGAATATCTAACATTTATAAATCCTATGCTATATGGTTTTCTCTGGTCACTGTTCTCCACTCCTGGAGCTCTTCCTTACTTTATTTTCCCAAATAAGGTCAGAAGTGAAATTCTCTGTATTTTTTTATTTGTTAACACTAAAAAGTGGGGCTACCCTCACACTGCAAGGGCTAAGTGCTCGTTATTGCCTAGGGTAAAAAAAAAAAAGAAAGCTATATTCACCCGTTGCCCCGAGCTGGCTTGCACTTAGACCAGTGCCTGGAGCCTCTCTCCTCCTCTGCTCAGCGGTCTAAGTTTCTGAGTCCTCACATTCTATACACATTGTATAGGAGGTGAGGTTGTCGAGGGACATAAATATAGTATAGGAGGAGACAGACAGGAGAGAGCGTGGTCACAGCTGGCCCGCTCAGAGATCCGGTGAGTAAAAATTTGTTACTTTTGACCCTATGCAAAAATTTACACATAACCCTTGAAGTGCAGGGGTAGCCCCACTGGGAGGGTTAATAAAATGTTTACCCAGAGTTTTTCTTTAAATATTTGGAGGTGGAACATAATTGTAATAGAGAAAAACAAACATACACATTCTGAAGGATTCCCCTTTAAAAGTAATGGGATGCTTTAACTCTTACCTCATTCAAGTAAATGTCAATCTCTCCAGGTGAGGTTTCTACTTTTTCCACATTACGATGCTTCTCCAGCTAAGGAACAAAGCATAATACAAGCATTAGTTCCCGTTAAGTGATGTATATGATCAAGCCCTACAGGGCTTCATGTTAAAAATACATACATAAATGAATAATGATTGTGCAGTTCTCATTGCCCATAGTAACCAGATGCTTTCTTTCATTCTCCCATACCAAATTACAAGTATGAAATTGAGAATCTAAATGGCTGTTATAAACAGTTCTTCCTTCTGGCTCTTTCATAAAATAGGGTCCCAATGTGGCTAGCAGCTTCCGAGTCTACCTGCATAAAAGGCCAGTAAGCTGAAATGTGACTCACAATGTAAACTGGTAATGTGGCCATATTTTATTTTACATTATAAATATAGGTGTAACATGAAACATGGTTAGAAAAGTACATTTAAGTGTTAAATAATTAATTGATGCATCACATCTTTTGAACAAGGCCTTTGAGTGCTTAGCCCCCATTCTATTGATACAGACCTACTTCCTGAATAGGCACACATTCAGGGTATATTCATATTAATTGACCACACTAAAAATGACACCTTCTAATATAATAAGCCCTTCTAATATTGTAACCAGCAGCTGTGTGTCCTTTTCTTCAAGGTATTATTAACTTTTAAACACAGCGCGTCCACAACATCCCAAACCTACAGCTAGATTTGAATTGTTTTCTTATCCAGTGATTGACTTCAGTGTTAGATAGATCATTCCACAAGTATGTGACACCTACCTTCCTAATGCTCTTACTATCTACTTCAAATCCTGATAAAAGTTCTGCTTTAATCACAGCCATGTTCGTTTTAGATCGTTTTCCTATGTACCTGCAAAAGAAAAAATGATTTTAAGATGAATCAACTCTAGGTTCTCAGTGAACATTCTATGAATCAGGGAAAAAGAGTAAAGGGCATTTTGCATCGAGCCCGAGACTATAGCATGCCAAAAGATAAGTGTGTAAAGCTTGAAGGACCTTATAAGTGCATTAGGAATCCAGCAGACCACTTGCGTTAAGAAAAATAGTTCTTCTAGTTTTAACTTGGTGTTATCTTTGGTCACATAAAAAAGAAGACATTTATCCCTGTTGATGACTATTCATGAAACTAAATTAACATTAGCAGTCTTAAAAGGATTTTAAAGTTAAGGAAGGAGTTCAAATATTTTTTTTAAAAACTGCAAATATAAAATCTACAAGTAACACATTTAGAAAGTGCAAATTTTAAGACTGCTTAACAGAAATCTAATTTTGCAAAGGTGACAGGTGCCAAATTAGGCTGATCTTTGTGCTGGACCCAAGTCTGTTTTACAGCCGCTCTAAAACCATTTTTACATAGTTACATGAGCACAATTACTAGTTAGTAGTACTAAATTGATCTTGACCTGACCTGAAAAGTAGCTAAATTATAGAACAGAAGTGCAAGAAACTTGTAGTATCTTCAAGTACATGTGTAAGCCGTTAAATTGAACCCAGTATAGCTGTGGAGACTTTTGGATCCTAGGCCCAGGCTGTACACAGGGCTTTTCCTTTTCTCCAAGTTGATATTAAACTCTTCCCCCTCTAAGTGCTAAGCCCCACTCCATCAACCTTTAAATGGTAATGTCCCTATTGCCCATTGAGGCTCTGGCAGCTAAATGAAAGGGGTAATACTTACTGTGAGATTACATGGCATACCTGTAGTATAACGAAGCCACTGTGTAAAACCTGGGCCTAGGATCTAAGGAACTCTGGAGGGACCCAGGTGTTCATTTACAAATTAACACAGATAAGAGAACGTTGTGCCTGCACAATAGCACTGTTGTTACAGAAGGCACTTTTTAGTGAACTATACTTCCAATTATGCACTAGATATTTTATCTCACCTGGCATCTACATGGACCTCAAAGTTTTTCTGTGAGTCCCCGCTGCAGACAGCTGAATCGGTAGTTACATTAAGAGCAAAGTGGACATCATGCTCATCAGGAAGACTGTTGTAATGTATATGTGACTACAGAGAGATAATATGGAATTAAGATATGTACATTTTTTGATTTATTTTTCAACATTCCATACATTCTATCAGTGCAATCTGTAGGTATACTCTAAAGGTCAACCTGTGCTTTGCCTATAGATTGCAAAACAACAGATTCACTGCCGGCACCTCAGCTGCACATCCTCAACTCTCCTATTCACCCTTACCATTTCATTCCCCCACAACAGCGAAGATAATACCTAAGGTTCAAGTTGCTTTGGTCTGAGTTTATACTGTGGCTAAAAAATCCCCACAAAAAGATCTTTGGAAAGGGGACTCATTTGCTTCTTGTTCCTGGACCAAAAAAGCATCCCTATGTATCCTTGCGGTATTTCTGGGCTCTGTTCACTCCAGTGCAGTCCATTCTGGACCAGACTAAAAAAATACTGCTGGTCTAATTTTCTCTGGTCTGAAATGCACTGGAATGCATGGAAGCGCATGCAAATGCACTGGACCGCACATAAAAAAAAGCCCATTTCAAGCTAAAAAAACCCACACACAGCTCCGGAACGTGGCGAAATCACAATGGCCGCCGTTCCAGATCTGGTCCAGAAAATGGTGTGAACCTGGCCTTAAGACAAATTGGCAGCGCTGAAAACAAATTAACAGCATGCAGCTACTGCTGCATGCTGCTTCTGTGCACCCGCCTGTATTGCTCCACTCAGCACCCACTGTGCTTCTCCTCTAGTTTGCATACTTTTTCCTCATACAGTATCCCCCAGTTATTCTCTTATTTATCTCATCCAGCATCTATCTACTATAAATCGTTTCCCCCACCTCAACACCCCCATGCTATGTCTCTCCTTAGTATGTAATTTTGTTCCCTAAATATGACGTTATGGTTTATGCAATGCAGCATACTTTATTAGGATGATGTTCGTTTTCAGCCATACCCTGACCTTTGAAATGCTTCTATTCCTGCTTCACCCCTAATATCACACTTGCTTCTATATCCAGCCAGGCACATTTTATGTGCATAAGGTATGTCATGCCAACTAATTTTTCCTATTTGTTTTCCTACTCTGATTTGGAGAGCCACAAGCCTTTATATTTGACCCTCTCCTACTAAAAGGTGTAAAAAGTTCTACCTCTCCTATAGACATGTAGCTCAAGACAGGTGGAAAGAACAAGATTCTGCTTACTTGTATGTAGACACAGCCATCTCCTGTGATAGAGGCTGTGTAAGTTCCAGGGACTTTAGGAAGATCCACCATTTGGACAAGGAGGCTGTTATGCTGGTCTACATGAATGTCTTTGTGAAATCCAGAATCATCTTCAACAGTAACTTCTGAGTCTCCCTTTTTGAAGTTTGTGGTCTTGGCATATTTAGCAAGAGCTTGAAGAGCTAATGTAGTGTCCTGTGACAGAGAAAACCTTTGTAAGGATCAAAGCGTATATTAGGCCAAAAACAGAATATCACAGCTTACCAGTCCTTACATTTGGTGGCTTCATATGTTTTAATTTTTGTGTCTTTATTTTCTGTATAGTAATTGTGTAAATAACATACTTTCTGTCCCTGGGTGGCTTTGTTCACTCCTTTACCGTACCTGTGGAGGGAGCTATGGTTGGCACCTAGCCTGGAGCTCACACATATCTTCCTCTCTTTATCTCCATTATAGTCGATTAGATTAGTAGTTTGCATAAGAAATATAACATTGTCTAATGCTTCCAGTTCAGCTCACAGGAAATTACAAGGACACTGTATTTCTAGCAGGACCAACAGGTATTTTATGAAAACTAATGCAGTAACCACATCTAGGGACTAGTATGCTGAAAAATATTACATTTTTATTCCTGGGTTTATTTATCCTTTAACAAAATACTCAATTTAAAGTGAACCTGTGCCAACAGCATGCATAGTAATGCATTTACATATTCTGAACAAGCAATAAAAACACTGTAAAGAAGTCCTCATTCATCTGTATATTGATAGGCATTGTGAATAAATTAATCTTCAAAGTTCACAACAAAAGCTCTGAAATCTAAGCCTTTTTTTATGAGAGAAGCTCTTGGCAGACTGCCATTCCTCTAATGTAAGCACATAGCAGGTGTTTCTAAGCTGTTATAACTCAATGGAAACCTGACTTTAGAGTCTTTCCTGTGATTTTTGAGAATGAATAACCGAATATTACAAGCCAATACAGAGGTGAATGAGGACATGTTCAGAGTTTGTTAAGAATATGTAAATAGTTTAGTGTCTATAGTCTGGACACAGGTGCACCTTAAGCCTGTGGATCCCTTTAGGACAAAAGGGATCACCTTATAAAAAATCAGTTTCAGCTGACAAGTGTCTGTGACAGTAAATACCCTAACAACCCTCTAGTTGAACACAACATAAGATGCCTGAGAGTACCGTAAAGCAGACTTTGCAGGAAAAAGCAAGATCCGTTTAAGGGCCGGTTCACACCACAAAGGCTGAGTTCCAGAGCGTTCAGCCTCTGGAACGCACTGGAACGCAAGCCGGCTCCCTGCGTTCAGGGGCTTGAGGGGGCTTGGCTGTGCATTGAAGTCAATGCTGCAAGGACTATTTGGCTGCGGTGCCATTGACTACAATGCACCACCACGCCCCTGAACGCAGGGAGCCAGCCGGCTTGCGTTCCAGAGGCCAGACGCTGTGGAACGCAGCCATTGTGGTGTGAACCGGCCCTAAATACAAGAGTCATGTGTATTCTTATGTCTTGGTGTGCATTGCAAATTTTTTCAGATCTGTGCAGTAATCCAATGTGAAACGTTTCCTATATATAGGATCTTCTTGTAATCAAGGCCAGTCACTGCTGCTCTCTCCCCTTGTGCAAGTTGATTGGTCTTGTATGTGCCCCCTGTAGTTTTCTCCAGGAAGCCTGTAGTGGGTAGGCCTGGTGGGTCTCTTCCAGATTCTGCTCTGTGTACAGGCTATGTATAGAACAGTGCAGATGAGATATTTTCTAGGTTTGCAAAGGCATTTGGTACACACAGTGGATTGATATCATGTGTAGCTTTTAAGGACTATTTAAGTGAAAGTTTTTGTGCCTAAAGTTAAGCCAATATATCAGAGACTCTTCCATATAATGCATAGCAGCTTTAAATAATAAAAACATAAGGGAAGGGTTATTAAATATATTTACCTGACCAAGGGCTTCCACCCATGCTGCCTAGAGTGGCATCATGTTCCTGAGAAATGCACTGTGATGGAGCATCTTCTTGCGACATTTGGGATACTCAAAATTTTACAGGATCTCACTGAAAAGATTATGATTGCACACTCTGTGGTATGGAAGCCAGCCATAAGGTAAGCATATTTACTAACTTTATTCCCTACAGGCTATTTATTTTTACTTTCCATGAAGGAATGAACCTTGGTATGTTTGTATGCTTTTTACTGCAAGGTCCACTTTAAGAAATATATTGTCCATTGTGCAACCCCCCCCCCGACAGTGCACATAAATGAGCTTCCATTAGATTTCCAGCACAGTCCTACTTGGAGGTTTAATACCCATTACTATTGCACAACCCAATGTGGCAGCAGGGAAATGTGGAATGGCAAGAGAGAATGGCAGGATGGAAATAGTGTTTTTAAACCAAAAGTGTTGCCAAATACCTTGTTGTGTCTTCTATTAGTAAACATTGCCTGCACACTTAAAGGAGAATTATGAGGCGTGTGATTTTCACTCAGCCTCATAATCTGAGCCGATCTGTGACAATGAAACTGTCACAGGTCGGCTCAGTAGATCGGGAAGTGAGCGAACACATACCGTTGCTCGCTCACTTCTCAATCTATCCCTGCAGAGAGTCGTGACTGTCACCCACGGCACTGTGCATGGATTCCCCCCCTCCCCTGTCCGGTCCTCCAGCGCTGACTGGCGGAATGAACGGGGGAGGGGGCGGGCATAGCTGGCTCTGCCTCTGGATAGGCAGAGCCAGCTGTCAATCCCGCAGCTGGGTGGATCTCGACAGCAATGTCGGGATCCATCCCGGCTGCGGCGTCTCAGTATACCACGAGCTGAACGGTCACGGTTGAACGCTAGTTTGTGTTCTCCCGTGACCCTTAGGAGAACTATAGGGAAAAGCCCTGACCCCATAGTTCTCCTTTAAGTAATAGTTGTAGTCAGAGCAAATATAGCGTTGGAAACGATATATAACCTGAGAAGAGGAGAAGCCACCCCATGCGTTTTGTTCTGATGCAAGCCAACGGACAGCATAAGCACTTTCTTGAAGATCTTTGTGGGTCATTATCTTGTCAGAAAGTAGAGCCATTATGACGTATGACGATATTTCAACCTCTCCGTGACGATAGCTAGTACCTAGCCAGTGCTTGGATCCACCTAAATTTAAATTTACAGTGAAAATAAATTAGAATATGTGCTAGAAGCAATATATTAAAGTACATTTGTTTTAGTTTCCTTGGCTGTCATGCTAATAGCTTGGCTTCCAAGTTTTGTTTAAGGAATTGTGTCACTTGTTTCACACTTATTTGCAAGGTGCATGTTCCCGGTATGTGACTCAAAAGTTATGAAGCCAGCACAGAAATTTTTTTAAACAAGGCCAACAATGACAGCTCCCATACTACTCTCATGACAGGTGCATATTAAATAGTATCGATTGTCATGATTGTTTCTTAACATTTCTTAAAGCCCAATTCCAGCCAAAACATTTTGAGTTTTTGGATGTTCCCTTAGAGCACCTGTCTGAGGGCTCTGGTATCACCCGAGTATAGAGACACGTTGGTGCAGACAGAATCTGGTGCAGTTGCCCATAATAATCAATCAGCTTCTGTCTCCAGATGGTTTAGTTACGCTTTAAAAATGAAAGAGAGAAGCCGATTGGTTGCCATGCACAGCTGCTCTAGATTCTGTCAGCTCCAGCTTTGATAAATTCCCCTCAGAGAGTAATTTTAAAAAAACCTGGCAACTGTTCTTACTCCACTCTCCACTCTTACATTCCACCATTTCTTGCCCTTGTGACACAGTATCACCAATACAAGAAGTGAGGAAAAATTAAGTGAGACCTGTGTAATTCAATGAACTCCAAGAAATAAATTTTACAGTAATAAAACAATCTTATTTTCTTTCTCATTTATTGAGGGGCACAGAAAATCAGAAACAGTCAGGACATCCAAAAGCAGTACAACTGAGGGGTGGGCAACAGCCACGGATAGACCCACAAAATGGGACTGTGTGCCACAGGGAGGCCACAGAAGATCAAGCTGAAGCTCAAGACCAGGGTAGAGGAGATCACTGTCAAGAGGGGAATGACTCCACCGGAAGAAACACTGAGCCTGAACCAGCAAAAGGCTGTGAAATCAAAAAGCCACCAAAACAGGTGGAACAGCATAACTTGATTCAGCTAGAAACAAATCCACAACATGATGTGGTCAACAAAGAAGAAACACTAGAGCTAGCACCCAGGAAAACAAGTCCCCAAAGATACTTTTGACAAAACCTGGTCCACAAGCAAAGACCAGTCAGACTACAAGGGAAGGTTGCAATCCCAAACCCCTGGTATTCAGGGAAGGTAAATTCCATGATAAGAATAAGGTTGCCCAGCCAAACTACCAATCTCACTTAACGAGATAGCAGAAGAAAGTTCCAAAAATCACAGCACAATAGACCATAAGAATTGTGGAGCAACCCTTGAGACTAGTATAGAACTTAAGGGTACAATCCCACAAAGTAAGCCTAACTAAAAGGGGTCTGGTGAACAATTGTAGGCAGAGATTAAAGCAATCCTGCAACCCCAGACTAGTTGATGGGGGGAACCATAAGAAAATGAAGTTGAACAACACCATCCACTTTAGCACCCAGAGGTGTCTCAGGGGCCTGACAGAAGAGGGGTAAAGGCCTGCATTAAAGGCAGTACAAGGGAAGGCATCTGAAGACTCTTCCTCAAGAGGCTGTGGATCAGCCACAGATTTACGTAATTGTTGAAATCTTTGTATGATCACTGATGCATTTAACTTATAGTCACACTATATATGGTTTTAAATACATATCTGAGGTGTTTAAGGTTATCACTTTGGGAGTATATGTGGCTGATTTTTAGCACAGTTTAGTAGTTATATATTTATTTTGGATATTAGATCTAAGATCACTGCTGCTGAATATAAAACATTTTGGGGAATTCGAGGCTAGGAGGTGAGAGCGTGGATTGCTTATTATTTATCACATCCTGAACTAGTCTAGTGGTATTCCTGTTAGGGTGGATTATTTGTGTATATAGGGTGGGAACAGATAACTGATTTCCAGATTCCCTCTCAAAGGGGTAAAGTTCAGTCATACTCAGGTGGGGCCTAGGACCCTTCAGGGTGCTTCCATTCTGCATAGAGGAATGTCTCAAATAGTGGGTGCAGTTTAAAGGTCTTTGCAGCTGCAGGGACCCTACCAGATGCATGGTAAAATGTACTGCTTCAATAAGGTCAGAAACAACCACTGTAAATCTTAAGTGACAGCAAGAGATAATGGTGCCTCAGAAACAGTCTATTCAGAGAGACTGCAGGGACTGTAAATCTGAGTCAGAGATGGTGACACAGACCAAAGGTCCAGCCTGATCTAAGGTTTCCGGAGGGTCATAAACTGACTGTGCAGCGGAAGGCATCGGAGCACCTTTGGAGCCTCTTCAGACAGTGTGCCTCAATAACTGAGCACATACAGACAAAAATTCCTGAGTGGACCAGTAGGTCCTTCTGGACATAGGGAGGACTGGGCCTCATCCTAGGAAGCTGAGGAAGACTCTGCTGACAATGACCCTATAACAATATAGAGTTCTAGACTACAAGTGCCAGCTCCTTTTGAAGTAAATGCCCCCAAAACTGCTAGGGGAGTATGGACTGTTTGAGTCACCTGTGGCAGCGGGACTGTCCACACTGTGTCTTAGGAAAGACATTTTGCATTTGATGGCAGTAAGCAATAAGGCCCAAATGTATTGCAAGGCCTCAGGTACTCACAAATCCAGATGATTTTAGGCAGCTGGAGATGACCAGGTCACTGTAGGCAGCAAGTGGGAAGAGACTGGAGACCCACATTGTGCTTTATGAACAGGAACATCCGTGGGCTGGTGCTTCCTCTAGGCTGAATGGCAGGATACAGAGTGCAGAGCGTGCAGCATTTGACCGACTCAGGAAATTATGTCAGTGCTCAGTCGCTCAGCCTTAACCCCTACGCGATAAAAATGGAGGTGGCAGAAAATGTGAAAGACACTTAGGCTGTGTTCACACCTAGGCGTATTGAATATGCGCATTTGTCGCGCGATTCGCGGTAAAAAAAACGCGCAACAAACGCGCGTTTCCAAGGGCTACTTGACTGTTTCCCAATGGGTACGCGCGACAAAAACGCCCCAAAGAAGCTCCTGTACTTCTTTGGGCGTAGAATGTTTTGTAGCACGTTCATACGGCCTGTAATACGTCCAGGTGTGAACCATACCCATAGGAAATTATGGGATTTCGGTGTTTGAGTGTTTTGCAGAGCGTTCGAACGCGCTACAAAACGCCCAGGTGTGAACCGGGCCTTAGTGGTGCAAACAATGGGCTAACTCTAGGGGTTTATTACAAATGGCCTTACTCACAGAGTGAGTCTGCATAGACAGGACTACACCTGGGACTTTGCTACAAATCAGGACCTGGATAACATTCTGCACCTAACAAACACCTTATACTTTGGACTGGAAATTGCCACAAGACAGAGCTCAGTACCTTTAGGTCCCATTTCAGGCTAGCCCCGCACATCCAGCCCCACCGGGTTGGGTATGGCCACAAAACTATGCTGAAGAAACAGATGTCACCTTGAGAAAGGGGTCCTCTGCAACCCTGAAATTAAGGTTTCTGAGACATGTTCAGATTTATAGAGTACTATCTCTCTTAATCCCCCTCTTTTTTTTTTGTCTGACAATCATCAAATAGGCAAGTAGCAAACAGTTAGGCAGACAGCAGTTAAACATAGAACCCTTACCTGCTCTATCAAAACAAACAAAAAAGGTGCTGACTCTATTTGGACTTTAATAATTGCAGTTTATATTTTGTTATTTACTCAGTTCTACTTACTTTTTATCTCAGCATGGTCATCCAGGCGTTTGAGCATAAGCGCTCTGTGCTCACTGTCTCCTAACAAGGTAAAAGCATATGCCAGGAGAGCTAACGTATGTGATGTTTTAGCGTTTTCTGCTCCTTTATTTATGCAGGATTTAGCATGCTCCACAATACTTCCCTAGATACGGAAGAGGGACCATAATGGAGAGAATGAATACATTAAAAGAAACATGGTAAAATTACAGAATGAATATAAAGCCCAATAAATTAACCACCACATGGCTAAGTATTTCTACGTGTGCAGAAGAGTGAGGACTTCGGGTGGTCTGGTGGATCAAGGTGGAGTTTGCCTCAGCATGCCATTTTAACATCTCCATCCCGTAACTTTAAAATCTGTCTATTTAGTCCCCATAAATACCTTTTAGGAAATGTTGTGGACCACATTCTCATACATTTGCGGTATGCCTCTGTCTATATTTCCTAAAAACTTCCATTGTAGTCACACATGCAGAAGCATTGTGCTCGGAAACTAGTACACTGTTTTCTTCACTACTCCCTCACAGCTCCACACCTCCTCCCTAATGTCCTCCCCACATACCCACCCACCTCTCTGCTTTGTCAGCCTCTCATGCAGCCTGGAGCCCTGCATGTGACATATGGCACAAGGCATTGTGGGAGATGATCCAGAACCACAAAAAAAATAGCAGAAGCTGCTACTTCGAAGAGGCAGGCATATGCAGTGTTAGTAAAAGAAAATATTTTGGAGCATAATAACAATGCATGTTCTGGATACCTAATGTGATGCTTAGGCCTTTAGATCTCCTTTAATGCTAAACTCCAGATAAATAGCTAAATACACAGATGAAATACACATTTAGGAGCTGTCTTTTTGCTACCAAAACATTTGCATTACTATCCATTTCTGAGATTTTACACATTTGCCAAAAACATTCCTGTCTGTCAGGGCAAAATACCTAATTTTTGTCTGTTGCATTAGTAACAATCTCACCCCTCCCCCACATTCTGACTAGACAGTAAAAGGAGTAGCAGGAGATTGATAAGCTCATCTCTATCACGCTGCTCTCCTCTTACCAACGTGTCCCTTCTTAGCACATGAGCACTGCAGCACAGCTGATTGACTCCTTGTGCTGTTTATTCCTCTCCCAATCTGAACTCTGTTGTTTAGGTAAGTACTTGCCCTGCTTACATTTCAAAGTTACAGTTAATTATGTATTGATGAATACAGGGTGCATTAATCTGTGTCTTCCATATCTGCATGGAGTTCAGCTTTAACCCTTTCACTGCCACTGACTTATGGCATCAGTATGTTGTATGTCGGTGGCTTTTACCCTTCTCCTATAAGCTTACGGTGACTTTAGGGACCATGAACTTACACCAGAAGGGTTCCCCTGACAGTCCCCTGTAAATTAACAGCTGTCATGACAGCTATTAACAAAAGTTCCAGGAGTGCGAATGCTGCTTCAGGATGGGATTTATTTCTCCTCGGATCCCCGCTGATCTCCCCTGCCTGTTTGGGCTAAGGCAGCGGGGATCTGAGGGAATGGACCGCTGCGGGCAGAGGAGGGAGCTGTGATGGCCGAGCAGTGAGGAGAGAGAAGCCGGCAGCGAGCGGGGAGGAGAGAGGAGAGACGCTGTCATCTTGTCAGTTTCAGGATAACAGCGGCTCCGTGTCCGGGCAAGCAGAAGATCAGTAAATATCTGTGATATTTTCTGATCCTCTGCGTGCAGAACAAACACTGGATTTATGGCTGTTCACTCCAATGTTTGTAAACAACTGGGGACACATACCGGTAGTACTGTATTATGTACTATGTATCCCTATTTATGAATGAACAGTAAGTGCTTTACATCACTTCCGGTGCATTCACGAGTTTCAATATCTCTAATTTGTGAATGAGAAGCCTCTGTACTGAGTGCTTTCCATTCATTCAGTGCTGAGGCTGCAGAAAAAAAGGTGCAGGACTCTGTATCCTCAATTTCAAAAATAAAATGTCAGGGGTCTGTTTAGACCCCTGATTTTTCCCCAAAGCCTCCGCTCATATTGTGGTGTACACCATGCACATGTGCTGCAGTGCGTTGTTAGAATGCTTCGCAGTGCTTGATTTTTTTTCTCTTTTTAAATAGTATTAATTTAACTGTGTGGCAGCGCATGGCAAATCGTGACACAATGCCGTGCGTTGTTATACGCTGTGTTGTGATTAAATGTACTCCTGGATCATTTTATCACAACACAAACACCAGCAACGGTTTATTAACTCAATACTGTTATTTTTTCAATTCACTCGGAAAAGTATTTTTTTTGTGTGCAATAGTATTGATTTTAGTGCACTTTTATCAATTGAATTGTGTATTTTTATCGGTTTAATATTGATTTGACAAACATTTTGTGCAATTATCGCAGGACCTACAAAATTAGTAGCACCATCTTTTTATTCTACTTGGCCTGTGCTTTCAGAAAATATATGGTTTGGGGGTCTTTTACAAACTCTAAAAGTTGCAGTTGAAAATAAAATAAAGGTAAAAAAATTGCAAAAATTGGCCAGCTGAGGTTAACAGCTTTCCGGAGGGCAGGGCAGTGAAAGGGTTAAAGTAATACATAGTAATACATAATCTATAAGCTATAGCGAAACATTGGCAAACTGGTTTGGGGGTCTTTTACAAACTCTAAAAGCTGCAGTTGAAAATAAAATAAAGGTAAAAAAATTGCAAAAATTGGCCAGCTGAGGTTAACAGTTTTCCGGAGGGCAGGGCAGTGAAAGGGTTAAAGTAATACATAGTAATACATAATCTATAGCAAACATTGGCAAACTGAAAAATATAGTTTTACATATATTACAAATATTCTCTGGAAATATTTAACCTCCCTGGCGGTATTCCTGAGTGTGGCTCGGGGTTAATTTTCAGTACCAATAGCGGTAACCCCAGAGCCACATTTGGGATTGCACAAAAGTGTCACTTACCTTGTCCCTGCGAGCCCGCGGTGTCCTCTGCTGTGTGCGCCCGGCCGATTCCGGCTTTCGGCATTTCGTTTAGTTTTCGGCGTCACAGCGGGAGGCGGAGCCGGCGGGAAATTTAAAAGTGAAAACATGCAATATTCACAGAATACACACAATATAATGTAATCTGCTATAATTACACTTATGTATCAAACTATTTTACTTCAATTTCGTCCCTAGAGCTTTGCCCAGTGCCCTGCCTGCAATTTTACCCTTCTTTCTGCCTGAAACTTGAGAATGTCCATGGCATCCAAAAAGTGTCCCTTTAGGTCAAAAACGGTTTTAGACCAGGTACAGCAATAGTGAATTAGAATCACTTGCAGAATTGAGCGACAGCGATTCGTTGGGAAATTCGTCAGACACTGAAAGTGACGACAGCGACGATTCTGCGACCGAGCTCAGTGATGTGCGAACTTGGTACTCTATTGACTGTGGTACGGATCAGGCAGAACCCCCAGAATTCCCATTTACTGGACCATTTTTTAATTATATATTATAATTTTTTATAATTGTTTATCATTATTTATTATATTATAATTTTTTAATTTTGTGTTTCAAACTTTATCATATCCGGGATGTCTGCTAGACTCTTGTTTGGACAGATTTAGGTGAGTTATTCCTAA